CATGAGGACATTTACCACCGGCTGAGCAATCGGCAAGAATACAGTTTCCGTCAACTAAATGATATGGCGGTTGGCATTGGCATTCAAGACTGTTACATTCTAAAAACAATAATATAATAAATTTATTTGTACAAGCAATCTACTTAATTTTAATAAATATGATTTACCATCGCAACTTGAATAAGGATTTCCATTAAATCCATTTGGACATTGACACTCATAACTTCCTGGTAAATTTTTACAAATAGCATTTAATCCACATGCAGGTTTGTCTCTAGGTTGCGTACATTCGTTAACATCTCGGCAAATTCCATTTTCTCGATCTCTTGCGTAACCTTGTCTGCATACACACATGCTATTACCGGTATATGTATCTATTAAGCATTGCTCTCCATCAGGACATGGCTGACCATCTCCACAACCAGAAGATGGAATAACTTTGGCGCAACCTCCACGATATGGATCTCCTTTGCTATTACTTGGACATTGGCAAGAGAAACGCCCCGGTTCGTTGAGGCATATAGCACCAGCTGGGCATGGTCGGCCTGCGCATTCGTCGATATCTGTACATCCACTCGTGTCTGGTGCTCCAGTGTAACCAGGACTGCATAAACATACAGCTTGCCCAGAACTCAACATGCAGTGAGCGTTTGGTCCACAACTTTTACCTTCACATGGATCTGAAAGTAAGTAAATAAAACTTTAATAAACGCATATCATAATCAACTATCAATTTTTTATTTATTCGTCAACGAAATGTTGACAAAATAAATATGGAGTTAAAAATTTGTACATTTTTAGTACAAATTTTATGAAAATGTTTCTACCTGTGCCATAGCAAAAATATTTATCTATTTATATGACAACACTTACGCCTGCAATCTTGACCAACATTTGGTTCTGGACATAAACATCTTTGTCTATCATCGCAAATAGCATTTCCTGGGCAGTCTGAATCTTTGTGACAAGCTTCAGCGCTAACACATCGAATAGTGGGGTCTGGGTCAGGTAAAGTTCCCGCAGGGCATTCACATCTATGGCTACCAGGCAGATTTACACAAATCGAATCCTGGCCACATGCTCCCGGTCTTGTGCATTCATCTATGTCCGTACATTGTCTGTGAGCATCACCTATAAAACAAATATTGACTCATCAAAATATGTTGTAAAAATTAATGAATGAAAGATGACAGGTAAATGAAACGCCATTTATACTTCTACTATAGATGTTCCATTTTTTTATTTTTTAAGCTCATATCTATATATTCCCCTATTTTAAATGAATGACAAAAATAATGTGCATGATCTCACCAGTAAATCCTTCTTTACAGCTGCAGCTATACCCTCCTGGTGTGTTAGTACAAATCGCGTCAGGGCCACAACGACCACTTGGTCCATGTACTGGATCGCATTCATCGATGTCCACGCAACCTGCGGCAATATCTCGAGGATCGAAAGTCCAACCGTCTTCGCAAACACAATACGCTTCTAGAGCATCGGCGCGACAATGCGCGTGTTCGCCGCACGAGACGCGTTCGCATGGTGCTCGGCATGGTACGGCCGGTGGGGATCCTACGTGTCCCGGCTCGCACTCGCAACGGTATGCTCCTAAAGCATAATATAACTTATATATAAAAATTGAGCTCTCTTTCAAATGTCTAAGTAAAACTCGAAAACGGCTAAACCGATTTGGCCAGTCTTAGTCTTGAAAAATTCGGGCCAATTCAGAGAAAGTCCAAAAGGTGAGAAATTATTTCAAATCCGCGTAGAAACTTTACATTTTGAAAATTTTTGTTGAAGCGTAATTTAAATAAAACAATGGACGGTGGCTAATACGTGAAATGTCAAACGTTTTTGACAGATCATGTTCAATTATGTTTAATAGGTTGTCTTATATAAATATTATTTAATAATGATTAAATTGTAGTAAGTAGTTTTGTTTGTAGTTTTATTTGTACACAAAAACGTTATTAAACGGGCCTCAAGTGTTACTATAAACTCAAAATATCTACTTTTTTGAAATGTTAATATGAAAATGCACTTTTTAGCATATTTTTCTCAAACACGGTGCTATGACAGATCTCATTTGTATAATTATATACTCATTGGTATTTATAAAACATTTCCTAGATTATATTATTTTTTATTTATGTTACTTTAATTCAGAACCTAAAATTGGTATCGATCAAAGGGACATTTTGTCGAATAACATTTTCCCAGTTATAATTTTCCTGAATTTATCGAAGAATAGATAGTAATTTATAAAGGTCCGGGGTTAAAAAGGTTCACCACCGATGTGTCAAAAACCAGTAAAGCTAAGCATTGTTCAACAGCAATATTTGAAAGTTGAGGAAAAAAGATGTATAACCAGCTATAACCTTGATTTGAAACCGGTAATCTTTGAAATGGGGGAGATAAACGGTAATTTAAAATTATAATAAGGCTTTAAACCTTTACACTGCTTATAGGGTAAAAAGGTCTAGATAACAAATTTTTGAAAGACATCAAAAAAGCAGCACATGAACGTAGTCAGATAATCGTTCGTTTGATATGTGTTATTTGTTGTGATATAATTGTTATGGTTTTCACAATATAGTTTTTATTTGCTCAAAGTATTTTATTAAATTTACTTTAATTCATCGAATGTTACTTGAAATTTTTCAAAAAGCAGGTCAAAGAAGAAATACTTAATTCATTTTCTATCCCTCATCGCAGAAATTTGAAAATTTTGTATAAGCTCAGAAGTATTATTTACATTTATACACAAAATACAGAATCCAAAAATAATCTGAAAAACTTGAAACGTAATGAATAAGTCAAAAGAACAAAAAAGACTTAGATTGGAATATACCATGTTTTCCAAAGAAAGTGTATAAAACTTCCAGTTTGATTGTATTGAGAAGATATAGTAAAACTAATGGGGCTTATTGTTTTTATAACATCTCATTGTATATAGCATTCGAACAACACATCCCCTTATACACTTAAACTATTAATATTTTTGATTCTTTAGAAATAGTTTAGAATATACCTAACTTAGAAGAATATACGAAACAACGTTTGCCGGGTCAGCTAGTAAAATATAAAACTGAACTAAAGGATTACACACGTCTTATTTTAATTTTATTCACTTGCGCCCTACGGTTTTTATATATTGTTACGTCAATTTCACTAGAAACTGGTATATTTGTCAGTTCCACGAAGAAAGTCATGTCGTAATAATTTTTATTAGCTAAACTATTGCCTTTACCTGGTAAATCAGTACACGTAGCGTGTTCCCCGCATGGGTTTCCTTTACATTCATCCAAATCTACGCAAGCCGCTCCTCGAGCCTCAAATCCTTCTTGACAAGCACAGCTGCCATCAATACACTCTGCATTATTAGTGCAGTCAAAGTTCGACGTGCAGCCAACAGAGACGTCAGTACGTTCGCAAGAGACGCGCGCATCAGGACTGGCAGCGTACCCTTGCGGACATTTACAGGTGAAGCCAGGTTGAGTATTGACGCATGTCGCGTGGGGACCGCAAGGCCTTTCGAGCAGAGCGCATTCGTCGATGTCAACACAGCCGGTGCGCGGGTCGCCAGTGTAATCTGGCAAGCAAGTGCAAATGTAGGATCCGGGTGCATCGGTACATAAAGCATTTGGACCGCATGGGTTGTGTTGGCATTCATTAATATCTAGAAAGAGAAAAAATAATTATTATTACAATTCCATTTTTATTGCTTTGAAATAAATGTAAATAATCGAGGTATTTTTTTATATCGGTGCATATTTATGTGTATATATGTACAAATGTATATACTAGCTTTTATACAAAAACCGATATTTCAGAAAACCGGTTTTCGAATTTTAATTTCACTAAAAACCGGTTTTAACCGGTTTTCGAATTTTATATAGAAAATAAATTTTTGCTCGAATATCCTGTAATTTATCCGCAAATTTAGTGTAATTTAGAGCAGTGTTTGACTGAATTTATTTATTGTTGATTTTTATAGACAGTAAACAAAATTATTTTAATTTTAATTAGTAGAACAAAAAAATAATAGTTTATCTTGATAAATAACTTTGAAAATAATTATTCGTTATTCGTGCATCATTTTCACATATAAGATAATATTTTTGTGATAGTGAAACGAAAGTTTTCGAATAAATAAAAATAATACATTTTTAAATAAAAAAAGTCATTAAATTAAAAAAAAATTAGACACTTGTTGATACATACTTGTTAAAATTAATTTTAGTTTTAAAAACAATTAAGCTAATCTGGGGTATTGTCTGTTCCGAGCAATTTTAATTGATTAATTTTAAACTTTCTAATTGTTTTTTTTGTTTAATAAAATATGATTTCAAAAAACTGAGAACGTCTATCGAATTGCTACTTAGACGTGTCCTTTGTTTATTCACAAAATTGACATAGAAAATGCTTTCATACTTTCGACAAAATTATGCTTAATTGTTTTTAAAGCCTGATATAATAATTCTAAGTTTTTTGTTCTTTAATTTGTGGCTTCTAGGGTATAAAACTCTTTTTTTTAAGTTTGTGTAGAGGAAGTTAGTTCTATAAGAAGAAGTCACACTGATTTAAATTAATATATACACTGGTATAAAAATCTAAATCAATATATACAAAACCTTTCTGGGAACCACAACCATTGCAGACTGATAAGATATCAAATGCTATTGAACCTATACGATTTCAGGAATCAAAACGCTTTCGTCTATCATTTATATTTGGCTATATTTGTCATTTTCCATTTATACAGTGAAAACCGACTTTTTTCACTAAAGAACCGGTTTTCAAATTCCATAATTTTCGCCAAATAAAACGGATTTTAAAAATGGTTTTTGAAAACCGACAAACCTTAGTATATACTAATAATAATTATAATAAAAATAATATAAGTAAGTAATATACAAGTAATAAGTACTTCAAGTATTAGATATTTGAATAAATTTCATCTTATATTTTTACCTGTGCATCCGGTCATAGGATCACCATTATACCCAGGGGGGCACACGCATTTAAAGCTTCCAGCCATATTATGACAAAGTGCATCACGGCCACAAGGCGATCGCGCGCATTCATCGGAATCGTAACAGCCTGCGCCGCGTGCATCACCTTCAAAGCCGGCTGGACAATCGCATTTGTAACTGCCTTCTAAATTCGAGCAAATAGCTCCTGGTCCACATCGTGCTAGTCCGGTTGCACATTCGTCAATATCCACGCACTGTGGGTGAAAAATAGAAACATTAGAGTATTAAACTATAAACATTATATTACATATCATTCAGAGGAGTTTATTTAATCACAACACTCCACAAACAGATACATTTATTCAAAGGAAACAAATATCTTAAAATTAGTCTAATGTCATTTCGAATACAAATTTCTTCAAATTTAACTTGTTTATGCTATGTATAGCGCTAAATATGATGGATGAACAACACCTTTTTTTACTTTATATAATATTGTATAGATGTGTCTTATAAATAGTCATTATTATAAGGACTAAAATCATCGTTCACAGTTTGACAAAATTTAATATTTTGATGCATATTTAGAGAATCATTAAAGTTATAAAAAGATTATTTAATGCAAAATTTTAATTTATAAAATATTGTATAAAAGCCTGCCATAAATTACGTGTATAAAAATATTAGTTCACAATATATAACACTAATAATTATAAATGCAAAAATCGTTGTTCGTCGTGTTTTAAATTTTTATTTTCTGCTAAATGGTTATAAAATCAATTAATATTTTATTTTTAATATTATAATTGCTAATGTGTGATAGAAATTCATTTTAAAAATAATCTGTTAAGTTTGTGATTTAAATTATAAAGAAAGTAGTATACAATTTTTATTAAGTTTTTAATCATGGATATAGCTGTGTATCTATAATTTAAACTTTAAATATATATATATATATATATATATATATATATATATATGATTTAGTAGTTAATTTTGATGTTGAAATATATGAGTGAGTTCTTGAGGGCGATACATCAAACAAAGAAAAGGCAAAGATTTATAAAATAATCTTTAATTCCAAACGTTTCGACATTCAATTTAATGTCATCATCAGTGGATATTACGTTGGTAGGTTACATCTAGAGAAGTGTACACAACACTAGAGATTGGCACTAACATTTATACAACTAACTTGTCAACACCATGCATTTTTTATAATTTTTTGTATGATGTAAACAGAAAAATGATTGTTTTATTTGAAACAAAAATGTAAGTAGAATTATGTAATTTCTGCCACGACTTCTGTACTTTGCGCGTACCGAGGCATGTGTGTACCGAGCACCATACGTTTCGACACATAGTTTTGTGTCATCTTCAGTGGACTCTAGTTTGAAGGCACAGATAGAAATTATTAAATAAAACTAATATATAAGAAGTGATATGGTATGAACTTACATGTAATTGTAATAATCCTAATTATTTCATAATTTTTATGAATCCTAATTATTTATGAAATAATTAGGATTATTACAATTACATGTAAGTTCATACCATATCACTTCTTATATATTAGTTTTAATTAATAATTTCTATCTGTGCCTTCAAACTAGAGTCCACTGAAGATGACACAAAACTATGTGTCGAAACGTATGGAAAAAATAAAAATGTTTTAAAGTCATTGCCCTGAAGACTGAATCTCACATATCTCAACATCAAAATTATAAAAATTTATATATATTCATCTATATATATATATATATATATATATATATCTGTATATATATATATATATTCATCTGAGACAGATATGTTGTCACATCTAATTGCTTACCCCATCAAAAGGATTGCCAGCGTAACCGTCTTGGCATGAGCATGTATAATTTCCGATTGTATTCGTGCACACCGTGTTGATTCCACAAGCTCCAGGTTCGGCACATTCATCAATATCTATAAAAAAAATACTATAAAGTTGCGGATATAATTTTACGCAATTTTGTTATTGCTTATATGCATTAACGACAAAGAAAAACGGATTAAAACAATATATAAAGTTGTGTTAAGAGCTTTTCAAAATTACGTTAATTACATAATTACAAACAAATTCATAAAAAAGTATGTACTATAAAAAGTTTATAATATATATTTATATATATATATATATATATTAATTTATATTTCTAATAATCATTAAAATAAATATATAGAGAAAAATGCAAATTAGAAATCGATTAGATCTAGCAAAAGTTATTGAACTGACGACTAATTTAATTGGGCAATATAAGTGAAATATATACTGATATATGACCTATCCATAAACTGAATGAACTTTTTGATCAGAATTTATTTTACGTAATCATGCTAAATAAATTTTTCATCTAAAAACTAGTTTTTAACTTGTTATAACCGAAAAATTCAGATAAAATAAATAATTGAATGACGCCATATGTATTATGATCGTCTAGGCGAGTTGTTTCATATATAAGATGTCAATATACTTATAATAAATTCATCTTTGACTAGTTTCAGCACAAAGTGCCGTCTGTTATATAATTATTTACATATATTAAATATAAATCCTTTGACAGTTCCCGCACCGAAAGCTACTTCAAAAAATTGTTTCATTTAGCTTGAAGATTTGAAAATGAGCTATATATGACAATATATTCAAGGATTGTTTCTTTAAATAACTTTTAAATAAAATTAATATATATTTATATATGCTTTAATTAGGTATATTTCACAATTATCGCTAGTTACCTGCACAATATTCCTCGCCATCTCCTTCGAATCCTGGGTTGCACTTGCAGAGAAAATTGGCTGGTAAATTACAACATTCTGAATTTTCAACACATCGCGCGGCAATTGCGGGGTCCTGGCATTCATCGATATCTGTAAAATGAAAATTTATATGAAAATTTATAATTATATTTTCTCTTTTCAAAGTGATTGTAGCATTGTTGTTAAATATGATCAAGCATATAAATATATAAAAATTACTATTTTCTTATTATTTCACTTTTGATATAAGATTGAAACGTTTATTAAAATATCTTGCAAATTAATTATTAATGATGTTTGTATTTGTTATGTAATTTCCAAACAGCAATATTAATATAGCAATAAAATAAAACTCAAGGTTGGGTGAGCTTCTATAAAGACGTCATTGATATTTTAATACTTCTAGGAATAAGGTTTTAAAAAACGAATAGGCGGTATTACATTTTTTTTATTTTTTGCGGTTTGAAATCCTATACGAAATAAATTAGAATTTTTATGGGATTTTTGATTTTTGTTTTCATTATTTCCAAAAATGGACCCTATTTTATCTCTCTCTCTCTCTCTCTCTCTCTCTCTATATATATATATATATATATATATATATATATATATATGTGTAATATGAATCTGTATACATATTCTATATATGTAAGTATATGTAATATAAAGTGTTGAGTAATACCCGATGAAATGATTAGACAGAGCGAAATTCCCATTCATTCAGAAATTAACCCGTACATCAGGAATTTTAATTTTGCGTGAGAAACTTCCTAATGAATAGTAATATCTTAACTTTAAATCGTTTAAAAAGGTACAGCAATATAATAATAAAACGAGCCTTTTAGATGAAATAATAAATATTATTGGTACAGTGCATATGCACTGCTTTAGTACAATCATACTCATTATCTTTATGTATGATAATAGATTTATAATAATTTAAATCAAACTAGTGGGGTGTATGGCATCGTGCCTTAAGGCAAATTGCTGGAACTTTCCGTATCCTAACAAAATGTTCAAGGAATACTGAATGTTTTCAAATAGATTATTATAAATATATTGTAACATTGTCTAATATTTATAAGAATTATATAAACTAAATTGCAAAGTTAAAATTATTTGTTTAAGTTATATTAGAACTTTAGTCAGAATAAAAATAAAATCTGAATTATTTTCGATATACAAAAAACTAAAAAAAAAAAAATGAAAAAAAAAATGTTACAATTTTTTTTTCCAAAATCAATTATTTTGTTAAGACAATCAGAAAGTTCTTTGAATCATTTAAATCGGACGCTTAGTTCTCTCAAAAACTGCCATTTTTTATATATTTAGCTCCATATCTTCGAAATGGCTGGGCCTGCCTTAGCCAAAAACTAATAAACACTTCTCCCAATCATTATTAATTGAATGTTTTTTAGATCATTCAAATCGGATACTCCGTTCTCTCAAAAAGTCGATTTCTATTTTTTGCATTCTTAGCTCCGTATCTCCGAAACGGCTGGACCTGCCTTCGCCAAAAACTAATCAGCTCTTTTCCCTATCAATAGAAATCGAATGTTTTTTGAACCATTCAAATCGGTTGATCCGTGCGCCCGAAAACGTGACTGGAAATTTGTATCCATACATACATACACACACACATCCATTTTTTCTGAAGTATGCCAAAACGTTCAGAAACCTTCAAAACGTCAAGAAATGTAAAAATTTTCAATTTTTCAAAAATTTTCGGCCCATTACAATAACTTACCCTACGGGAAGTTAATAAAGATAAACTTCGATTCAAAGACAAGATTTCTAACTATATTTTTGTAAGTACTACTAAATAGATCAAATAAAAATTTTGGTTTATTATGCTGGTATATGTACTTATATTTTCCATATATGAAGTGAAAATACAAAAATTTTTGAGGTGCATTCAATAACTTTCTTGTTCAGTACATATTTATGATACCTAATATTACTCGATTATATATCTTGGCAGTTTTATGTCTTTTTATTGAGCTTTACTAGTATTAAGATGTAGAAACAATTCCAACATATTGTTCAGGCTTTAATAGTAAAATGCAATCGACCCTAAATGGATTTTATAGTGCTTTTGTACAGTTAAGGAATTTTTGTTTGATTTAATTTTCGCCGCACATCCACGCTATTCCAATGATTATATCGAAACTTTTATTATGTTTCTTCCAAGTGTCGCTCAAGTATCCAGTGTTCATTTTGATAAGTTTTGTGAATCCATTATTTATTTGAGCAGTACAGCAGAATCGATTGGACATACTATAAAACCTTTTATTGTTTATTTTCAAAAATGATTAATACATAAAATCGAGTAGAGGGGTTAAAACTACTATAGCGCTCTTAAGCCGGGATTATCAGTGTTTGATCTTAGACGTTCAGGAAGCCCCTCTGGGCCACTTTCAGCTACCGGTCGCTGTCGAACCTTTACATGCGTATTGCCCGGCCATTGTCCGGCCGTTGATCTCCGTCGTAGCATAGCTTTATGACGCGCGAATCGACGGCTTACCCATAAGCCGGCGTGTTTGTCCGGCCCCAAAGCGCTAGCAAACCGCACCGCGCACTCTACGTCGATAGCGATTCTTCGCACGGAACATGGATTGCAAGAAGAGGCCGTTTGCGCTTGCACGCCGTCCTATGCCCGTTAGCTTCTACGCGGAAAAGCTTAATAGTGGCGAAAAACAGTCAAGCCGAGGAGTATATGGAGCACATTTTCAGAATAATTCTTATAAGTAACTAGTGGTGCATGGCATCGTGCCTTAAGGCAAATTGCTGAAACGTTCGGTACCAAAAATTCAAACTAGCTATAAGTGGAATTCTGTCCTATGGCAATTAAGGCATCGTGCCTTAAGGCAAATTGCTGGTACTTTCCGTAAATAAACATAAAAATACGTAAAAAATTATTATTTTTTTAAAAACGATTAACATTTTTTTTTACTTTTTTCATTAGATCTCCGAAACCGCTAGACCTGCCTTTATGAAAATTTGATCGGTTCTTCACCTTGTCAATACAAGTAAAATGTTTTTTGAATTATCAAAATCGGACACTCCGTTCTCTTAAAAACTGAGTTACCGTTTTCGGCACTTTTTGCCCCGTATCTTCGGAAGGGCTAAACCTGCCTTCGCCAAAAACTAATCAGCATGTCTCCTTATCAATACGAATCGAATGTTCTTTGAATTATTCAAATCGGTTGATCGGTGTTCCCGAAATCGTCGACAAAATTTTGTATCCGCACATACATACATACACACACACATACATCCATTTTTTCTAAGGTATGCCAAAATATTCAGAAACCTCTGAAACGTCGAGAAATGCAAAACTTTTCATTTTCGATTTTTTTGCGATTACTATAACTTGCCCTACGGGAAGTTAATTATTGAACAATTAAAACCTTTTTAAACCTTGAAAAATTAGATTTTCGAGAATTTTGAAATTTCCTCGAAATTTTCCTTTGCACAGCAATCGCGCTGAGTTAGCAGAGTAGAGACGAAATATCGAAGCGTGGAAGCGCCGCGTCGCATACTAACCGATAAACAATGATACGGAACCCATACAAATGTAAACAAAATTTGTTTTTATTATTGAAAAGTTTATAAATTATCTGATTATTTATTTTGATGTGTATATCTCTAATGATCACTTTTAACCGCCAAATGGCTTTTTTTACTTTCTATATCGTATCTCCGAAACCGCTTGACCTGCCTTTCCAAAAATTTTATAAGTTCTTCATTTTGTCAATACAAATAAAATGTTTTTTTAAACTAATCAAATTTGACGCTCCGTTATCTCAAAAATTAAATTACTATTTTTGGCACTATTTGCCCCGTATTTTCGAAACGGCTGGACCTGCCTTTGCCAAAAACTAATCAGCACGTCACCTTATCAATAAGAATCGATGTGTTTTGAATGATTCAAATCAGTTTATTCGTGTTCACGAAATCGTGGACCAAAATTTGTATCCAACAAGCTGTAAGTGGAATTCTGTCTTAAGGCAATTAAGGCATCGTGCCTTAAGGCAAATTGCTGGAACTTCCCGTACTAAAACTTATTTTTTTAAAAACCATTAACATATTTGAAAAAAATTTACTTCGAAAAAAAATAGATTTTTGAGAAACTATAATTTTGACAAAAAATTACTTTTTAATTTTTTTTTTATGACAAAATTTTTTTGAAAAGAAAAATGTTTTCTTCATTTTGACATATTTTGGAAATTCTGAACTTTTTTTCGTATTGCTAGACCTGCATTCGCCAAAAACTGATCAGCACGTCTCCTTATCAATACGAATCGAATGTTTTTTGAATTATTCAAATCGGTTGTACCGTGTTCCCGAAATCGTCGATGAAAATTTGTATCCGCACACACATACATACACGCACACACACACATACATACATTTTTTCTAAGGTATGCCAAAATGTTCAGAAGGTTTTGAAACGTAAAGATATATGAAAATTTTCATTTTCGGTTTTTTTGCGATTACTATAACTTGCCCTACGGGAAGTTAAAAACACAGACACACACACACATACATACATCGATATTTTCTAAGGTATGCCCAAATGTTCAAAAGCCTCTAAAACGTAAAGACATGCAAAAATGTTCATTTTCGATTTTTTGCGATTACTATAACATACTCTATGGGAAGTTAAAAATAAAAATATGATGCTATTGGTTTTTTTTCAGCAACGCAATTGTCCAAAAATCGCTGTTTAATTGCTAATAATGCAATATTTAAAAACAACATAAAAATGCGCATTATAGATAACTTATTATTAGAAATATGCATTAAAATTGTAATAAAACATAGAATCACTGTAAGTAATAAAGACCTCTTGAAGCTTCAACTTATAAATGAAAAACAAAACTGATTTCAAGTCAAGTATGAGACAAGTCGGAGACAGGGTGAGGCAGCTTTCAAATAAAATTTAATATGGGTTGTTAATATTAAAATAATGATGCGTGGAATTGTGCTTTAAGGCAATTTTTGGAGTAATTCGAGCAGTAATAATAATCGATACTCCATAAAAATTGATCAATGAATTATAACAGTTGTTTTACATATTTTCATAAGAATATTATAAAAATTATTTA